CCTGGGGCTGGTGAGCGCTGGGGCTGGATCCTCCCAGGCCGGGGCGCGAGGACGTGCGCGCCTGGCCTCTGCCGCCGCCGACCTGACCTTGGGCGCGTTCTTTAATCAGCGCGGGTCTCAGTTTCGTCTTCTGGAAAATGGGCACAGTTCTAATCGTGGAGGGTTGTGGTCAAGTGCAAAGTTGATTTTCCCAGTATGTTTCCTGCTTCAGCAAACCTTCCTGCCTTTCCTGGGATGTCCTCCTCCCCCAGCCACTCAGCTGTCAAACAGAAAAGCTGGTTTTCTGGCATTTCCTCTTTTTGGTGGTGTGACCAAACTCTTACCAATTTGCATAGCGGGAAATGGGCCCAGAGAGGAAAGAGCAGAGCCGACTTATCTGTCTGCATAGCGGGAAATGGGCCCAGAGAGGAAAGACTTTTCTGGACGACACTGGTGGTTAAGAGCAGAGCCGACTTATCTGTCATTCGGCCCACAGGCCCTTTAAAACCAGCCTTCAGATTGTTAAACGTTTTTTTGCAGCAGACTGCAAGGCGAGAATTCTGCCTACCCCTTGGCTGCCCCTCAGTTCCCTCCTTGGGGGGCTTCCTTCTGGAGCCCTTGATCCCTGTGAGGACGGGGAGCTGGGAGAGGGAGTTCCCTTAGCGTCTCGGGGACCCTGAGCCACAGCTGGTCCTGAGTGTTTTGACGGGGAGGGGGCGGAAGGAGACCGCTAGCGGCTCGGTGAGCCTGGCCGTGCCGCCGGTCCTGCTCTCGGTCCTCAGGCTGAGCTAGCTGCATTGCAGCCCGTGCTCTGGCTTCCCGCCTCAGACCAGCTGCCTGCCGCCTACTTCCAGCGGCGTAGTTACAGTCAGTTGTTTTTGAAAAGTGGATCAGTTAGGATTTTTTTCTTAAAGCGCAGCGAATTTCCTCTGGATGCCAACTGGAACCTTTAGTTGTTGCGAATTGTGAAAAACTTTAAACAGTTTAAATTTAGCAGAGTTTCTTTGAGCCAGGAAGTGATTCAGGAACTAGACCACATCCTTAACCACTGAAGTTTAGAAAGCTCTACCCAGCAGTCTACAGACAGAGAAAGTGAGCTACAGAAATTCCCTGAGTGGCTACAGTTCCTTGCCTTATTTGGACATGTCTGAGAAATTGCAACCTGAGATTGGCTGAAAGCTTGGTGGCTATGATACTTACATATATTCACAGTTTTTTGTTTGTTTTTAAAGATTTATTTACTTGAAAGGCAGAGTTAAAGAGAAGGAGAGACAGAAAAGTCTTCCATCTGCTGGTTTACTCCCCAATGGCTACAATAGCTGGAGTTGAGCCAATCAGAAGCCAGGGGCTCCACCTGGGTCTACTATGTGGGTGCAGGAGCCCAAGCACTTGGGCCATCTTCCACTGCTTTCCCAGGAAACAACAGAGAGCCAGATTGGAAGTGGAGCAGCTGGGACTCGAACCAGTGCCCATATGTGAGGCCGGTGCCTCAGAGGGATGCTTAACCTACTGCGCCACATTGTTGGCCCCTAGGTTGCAGTTTTTGAACATACTGTGTGGGGCCGGCGCTGTAGCACATTGGGTTAATGCCCTGGCTTGCAGTGCCGGCATCCCATATGGGCGCCTGTTCGAACTTGGTTGCTCCACTTCTGATCCAGCTCTCTGCTATGGCCTGGGAAAGCAGTAGAAGATGGCCCAAATCCTTGGGCCCCTGCACCCACGTGGGAGACCCGGAAAAAGCTCCTGGCTCCTGGCTTCGGGTTGGTGCAGCTCCAGCCGTTGCAGCCGGTTGGGGAGTGAACCATCCGATGGAAGACCTCTCTCTCTCTCTCTGCCTCTCCTCTCTCTGTGTAACTCTGACTTTCAAATACGTAAGTAAATCTTTAAAAAAAATAAACCTACTGTGTTAGGTTACAGTTGGTTCTTGTGCAGGCAGCTTAAGGCCATCTTAATTTAAATGTCCCCTCTTTTTATCCATCCTGTCAATTTTGAAATTGACTAAAATCTTGGGCACTGACACCAATTTCTTTCGCTATAATAATGGACTGGCTTCATATCATAGAATTCATGATTTTCGGCCGGCTCCCTGGCTCACTAGGCTAATCCTCCGCTTGCGGCGCCGGCACCCTGGGTTCTAGTCCTGGGTGGGGTGCCGGTTCTGTCCCAGTTGCTCCTCTTCCAGTCCAGCTCTCTGCTGTGGCCCGGGAGTGCAGTGGAGCATGGCTCAAGTGCTTGGGCCCTGCACCCACATGGGAGACCAGGAGGAAGCACCTGGCTCCTGGCTTCGGATCGGCACAGCGTGCTGGCTGTAGTGGTCATTTGGGGGGCGAACCAACTGAAGGAAGACCTTTCTGTCTCTCTCACTGTCTAACTCTGTCACAAAAAAAAAAAAAAAATCATGATTTTCAATATCAGATTAGTTGAATGGTTTTGTGGGAAAGATGTATTTGAAAGGCAGAGTTAGCTTCCATCCACTGGTTTACTCCCCAGATGGTTGGGGCTGGGCTAGGCTGAAGCCAGGAGACTGGAACTCCATCCAGGTCTCCATATGGGTGGCAGGGGCGCAAGCACTTGGCCATCCTCCACTGCTTTCCTGGACACATCAGCAGGGAGCCTGATCCGAAGTGGGGCAGCCAGGACTCCTACAGGCACCCATATGGGATGCAGGCAGCGGCTGAATGCACTGTGCCACAACGCTGGCTGTGATTGATTCTTAGGCTTTCTTCATGTTTTTGCTGTTCTAACCATCTAAGAGAACGATTTACTGTGGGAAGAGTGGCAGTAACAGGTAGACTGTTACGTGGCCACTGGGAGGCTCAGAGGAAGAGACTGAAGTAGACACCTTAACGGGAGTCTCTAGGGACTGAAATCAAAATCAAACAGTTCAACGTTCAGGCCATAAATCAGTTGAACAGTGTTCGAGTCCAATTGGTCGTAGTCTTTGTTCAGGGCATGGGGGTGATTAAGGACCATAGTTCATTGTTTTAAAAAAAAGTCTTACTAGGCCATTGGAGGGTGAACCAACGGCAAAAGGAAGACCTTTCTCTCTGTCTCTCTCTCTCACTGTCCACTCTGCCTGTCAAAAAAAAAAAAAAAAAAGTCTTACTAAAAGTGTATCCTTTTTTTTTGTAGTTAGGTTGGTAACATATCAGTAAACTGGAAACCCAGTAGTCAAAGGTTAGACAACCTTGGAATAGCCATTGTATTACTAAATTGTTAGAAAGGACAGAGGTTGGGGCTGGCGCTGTGGCACAGTGGGTTAAAACCCTGGCCTGAAGTGCCGGTATCCCATGTGGACACTGGTTCTGGTCCCCAGCTGCTCCTCTTCCGATCCAGCTCTCTGCTATGGCCTGGGAAAGCAGTAGAAGATGGCCCAAGTGCTTGGGCCCCTGCACCCGCATGGGAGACCCAGAGGAGGCTCCTGGCTCCTGGCTTCAGATCGGCACAGCTCCGGCCGTTGCGGCCATCTGGGGAATGAACCAGCAAATGGAAGACCTCTCTCTCTCTCTCTCTCTCTCTCTCTCTGTGTGTGTGTGTGTGTGTGTGTGTGTGTCTGTCTCTGTCTCTCTCTGTGATTCTGTCTTTCAAATAAATAAAATAAATCTTAAAAAAAAAGGAAAGGGCAGAGGCTTATTTTGGTTCATGATTCCAGTCCAAGTTCAGCAGCCTTCATTCTGGTGATGGCTTTATTGCTGACAGCGTCCCAAGGTGGTGCAGGAGACAGGGAGTGCACGTGTGTACGTCTGCTCGCCTCAGTCCCTGCCACGCGCACGATCTTATCTCAGCCTTCCCAAAGGTCTCATCCAGAAGGTCCAGATTGCGTGTCCACCCTCTTCCTAGCCCACAGTGGGGAGTGAAAGCCAACAGGAGTGTCAGGGAGGACAGACCATAGTTAGACCCCAGCAGCCAGGCTGCCATCCGCCATTCAGGTGCCTGCCAAGCAACGGGGAGCCCCTTTGCGTAAGCACAGCATGTGTTCCTTTGCCCTGAGAAATTTCTTGATGTAGCTGTGGCACTCTCTAGAGGTATAAGCCACCTTTTAAATTAAGTTTCCTGTAAATGTCAGGGGAAAGTGAATTGCAACGTTCGGTATTTTGTTCAGCACCGCACACCGCACACGCCCACAGCATGGGCAAAGAGGACATGTGAAGCTGCCTGAGGGCCCACCAAGTGTTTCTGTTCCCATCCACCTGTCAGAGAGTGAACCCCCGGGGAAAGCGGGTGGTCTGGTTGACTACAAAAACCTAAGATTTCCCACAGCTGACACATTGCATACAACTGGCACCTCGTTGCAGAGTGAGCCCCCAGGAACTGTATTAGAAACTTTACGCAGAGGAAAGTACTCGCGCGTCATGTTTCACAGGTGGTCCTAATTTCCAGTGTTAGCCACTTTGGCCTCTGATAATGGGAACTTTCAGGAAAGCTGTTTGAAGGCAGGAGTGGGCCAGGCCAAGTTAACAAGATCTGAACCAGCGAGGAGGCAGGATCAGCTGAGCAAATTCTACAGAGCCAATAAAAGCCTGGAGGACTGGAAAAGCAGGCCACCTAGTGGTGTTTTAGCAGAGGTCAGCTGAATTCGTTTGCCCACACATCAGTGTAGTTGCTGAACTAGGTTCAGTGGGGAAGTCAGGTGGGTTTTTGGTTTGTTTTCTGGTCTTGTCAGCATGCTGTAAGGGTGCAGAACTATATTTTGTGGAAAGGGACCTTACAGGAGTTCATACACTGACTTCATACAGCAACTACCTGGACCCACACAGGTAGGACTCTGGTCTTTGAGTGCCCCATGCTGGCAAGCACAGTACCTCTTACACCTACCACTTGAGTAGGTTTAACATGTGCTGGTGACGGTGGTAATTGGAAGGGTCGGGCTGCTCTTTCCAGGCAATACAGGAAAGCAAGTAGAGCGATGTCTACAATATCAAGAACTGCTTTCCACTCTGCTTTGGGGCAGGGGTGTGCAAGCCTTTCTCTGCCAAGGGCCGTTTGGATATTTGTAACATCATTCTCGAGCCATACAAGAGTTATCAGCTTAGTCTGTTTTTATGGAAGTCAGTCCTGTCTGTGGTTGCCTTGCAGGGCGGACGGCATGATGCAGGGGCCCTTCTGTGGCCTCAGGCTGGATGTTCCCCACCCCTGCTCTCTGGAGTTTCAAGGTGATGGTCACTGAGAACCCACAGAGGCATTGGCAGTGGTGGGAGTGTGAACTGACCTTGAGGTGCTAGCCTCAAGCCTCCAGTTGCTCTCTTTTCTCGCTAGAGCGTGTTTTTGCTAAAACCGCTTACGTATTATGGTCCCGTGGATTTTCCTGTAAGGAAAGGGAAGGAATTAGGACAGTGGGATACGGAGTAACAGGGGGGAAAAAGAGACGTCTTTCACGAAGGCAGAGAAGCGCGGAGCTGTAGTCTTGGGAGATCTGTCCACATCTATGACGCCATCTGCTTCTAGGGAGAGCTCTGGCCGACTGCCCGAACACCTCCAGTAGGTCTGTGGTTCCGGGAGTCTGGACAGGCCCCTTTCAGAGATAGGGACCCAAGACTCAGTTTTCTCACAAACTCATTACCTTCTAATCTTAGCTTGGTCACATCAAAGTTTTTTTTTTTTTTTTTTCTTTTTTTTCACAAGAGTCATCGTCTAGGAGCTCCTCTAATTTTCTTACGCATTCAGCTTTTGTCCTGTACATTCACTTCGTCATTTCGGAACAACCATTTTCATTTAGAACAGATAAGACTTTTTCTCTTCATAAAAGAAAACATCCTCATACCTTCTGGCTTTTCCTTACCAAAAACCCATCTTATTTATCTCATATACTTGCAGATAGAGTTATTCCCATCATTTTCCTAATGATTTTAGTTATCTATATCAGAATTTTAAAAAAATATTTATTTATTTATTTATTTGAAAGGCAGAGTTACAGAGAGAGGAGAGACAGAGAGAGAAGGGGAGGTGGGGAGGGGTAGATATCCAGATCTTGCATCTGCTGGTTCATTCCCCAAATGGCTACAATGGCCAGAGTTGGGCCAATCCAAAGCTAGGAGCCAGGAGCTTCTTCTGGGTCTCCCACATGGGTACAGGGGCCTAAGCACTTGGGCCATCTCCTGTTGCTTTTTCAGGTGCATTAGCAGGGAGCTGGATCAGAAGTGGAGCAGCTGGGACTCAAACCGGGACCCACATGGGATACTGGTGTCCAAGGTGTCTTTACTCCCTGTGCCACAGCACTGGCCCCTATATTTGAATTTTTAACACTTAGGGACCTTGCTTTCTAGGAATACTAGGATACAAGCAATTATGACTGGTCATACTACCAACCTGTAGCTTGGCAAATCTATGAATCACAATTTCTAGAAGCATGAGCTTTCCCAGTAGTACAGTTTGTCAGTGAAGCACAGAACATGCGTCTTAACAGATCCAAATATCTTTAGTTTCTCTGTAACAAGAAACTGTAGAAAAGGCAAAATTTTATCTTTTTTTCTGTTTCTTATTTTCTTTTTTTAAAGATTTATTTCTTTATTTGAAAGAGTTACACAGAGAGAGGAGAGGCAGAGAGAGAGAGAGAGAGAGGGGTCTTCTATCCGATGGTTCACTACACAATTGGCCACAACGGCCGGAGCTGTGCCGATCTGAAGCCAGGAGCCAGGAGCTTCTTCTGGGTCTCCCACGCAGGTGCAGGGGCCCAAGGATTTGGACCATCTTTACTGCTTTCCCAGGTCATAGAGAACGAATCAGAAGAAAAGCAGCCGGGACTAGAAAAGGTGCCCATGAAGGATGCTGGCGATGCAGGCTGGGGCTTTAACCCGCTGCACCACAGCACTGGCTCCATCTGTTTCTTATTTTAAAGCTGTGCCTGAGGGGCTGGCGCTGTGGTGCAGCGGGTTAAAGCCCCAGCCTGCATCGCCAGCATCCCTTATGCGCACCCGTTCTAGTCCTGGCTGCTCCTCTTCCGATCCAGCTCTCTCCTTATGGCCTGAGAAAGCAGTGGAATATGGCCCAAGTGATTGGGTCCCTGCACCCATGTGGGAGACCCGGAAGAAGCTCCTGGCTTTGAATCAGCTAAGCTCTGCCCATTGTAGTCATTTGGGGAGTGAACCAGTGGAGTGGAAGACCTCTCTCTCTCTCTCTCTCTCTGGCTCTACTTCTCTCTGTAACTCCTCTGTCTTTCAAAATAAATAAAATAATTATTTAAAAAAAATAAAAGCTGTGCCTGAGTATTCAGCTCTTTGGACAGATTTCTCTCAGCCTCAACTTTCCCTTCTTGATAAGAATGTTAAAACATTCTGATATAAGAAGGTCATCTTTTATATGGGAATTGTATCTTTTATCTGTTTAAATCACTTTTTAAAATTAATTAATTAATTTATTTATTTTTGACAGGCAGAGTGGACAGTGAGAGAGAGAGAGAGAGAAAGGTCTTCCTTTACCGTTGGTTCACCCTCCAATGGCCCCCGCGGCCGGCACACTGTGGCCTGTGCACCGTGCTGATCTGAAGCCAGGAGCCAGGTGCTTCTCCTGGTCTCCCATGCAGGTGCAGGGCCCAAGCACTTGGGCCATCCTCCACTGCACTCCCGGGCCACAGCAGAGAGCTGGCCTGGAAGAGGGGCAACCAGGACAGAATCCGGCACCCCGACCAGGACTAGAACCCGGTATGCCGGCACCGCAGGCAGAGGATTAGCCTAGTGAGCCACGGCACTGGCCATAAATCACTTTTTTTAAAAAGATTTTATTTATTTGAAAGAGTTAAAGACAGAGAGAGGGAGAAACAAGAGAGCAAGGTGTTCCATCCTCAGGTTCACTCCTCAAATGGTCACAACAGCTGGAGCTGGGCCAATCTAAAGCCAGGATCCAGAAGCTTCTTCTGGGTCTCCCCACATGGATGCAAGGCCCAAGCCCTTGGGCCATCTTCCACTGCTTTTCCTAGGCACATTAGCAGGGAGCTAGACTGGAAGAGAAGCAGCCAGGACTTGAACCGGCACCCATATGGGCACTACTGATATATAGGGCAACATAGATTTCCCCAGGGCATTCTTTTTTTTTTTTTTTTTAAGATTTATTTTTATTTATTTGAAAGGCAGAGCTATAAGGAGGCAGAGGCAGAGAGAGAGACAAAGAGAAAGGTCTTCCTCCTGTTGGTTCACCCCGCAAAAGGCCAGTATGGCCAGCACACTGCACCGATCCAAAGCCAGGAGCCAGGTGCTTCCTCCTGGTCTCCCATGCGGGTGCAGGGCCCAAGGACCTGGCCATCCTCCGCTGCCTTCCCGGGGCCACAGCAGAGCTGGACTGGAAGAGGAGCAACCGGGACAGAATCTGGCACCTCAACCAGGACTAGAACCTGGGGTGCCGGTGCCGCAGGCAGAGGATTAGCCAAGTGAGCTGCGGCGCTGGCAAACTCACTTATTTTTAACAATTATGCTTGAATTGTTTCTAAAGATGAAACATCTAACAGCTAGCCATCATGTTATTTTTCTTGCTGACAAAAACTTTTAATATAGAGATAACATAAAGCTTTGTTTATCAGTAAATGTAGGTAGGAAGAGCCATGCAATTGTATGATATTTGATGCTGAAGACTGAAGAATGCCTGTTTTAATTAGATCAATATTCTTTATTTAACCAAAGATCACCAAGTCACATGAACCTGAAAAGCATCTGGTTAGGTTTTTTTCTTCTTCCTTCTGAAAGAGAATACTTCATTTATACAAGCATTTATGATTCTGAAAACCAACTGGGCCTGGTGCTGTGGCATAGCTGGTTAAGCCTCCACCTGTGATGCCAGCATCCCATATTGGCTCCAGTTGAGACCCGGCTGCTCCACTTCTGATCCCTCTCCCTGTTAATGTGCCTGGGAAAGCGGCTGAAGATGGCCCAAGTGCTTGGGTCCCTGCACCTGGCTGTGGGCAGGCTGTTGTAGGCATTTGGGGAGTGAACCAACCAGTGGAAGATTTCTCTCTCTCTCACACGCACACACCCCCTCCCCCGCCATTTTTCTCTCTCTTTTCTTCTGTCATGTTGCTTTTCAAATAAATATATAAATCTTTTTTTAGAGTGATTATTATAAACAATCAGAAATAAGTTACCCTTCAATTCTGGAATCTTTGTTTCCTTTTTGAAAAAGTAGAAGCAGCTCTGGGTTCTTAGCTTCAGCTCCAGCTATTGTGGCCATTTGGGTAGTGAACTAGCAGATGGAAAATTCTCTCTCTCTCTCTCCCTGTAATTCTGCCTTTCAGAAAAATACAATAAATAATGTTTTTAAAAAATGAAGTTTGAAATTGGCAATAGAAAAATGTCATCTATAAATATCATCTCATATACACATACCTACAGATAGAAATAAGCACATACCTTACAGATTTTAAAATTTTAGACACGTGCCAAGTAAAATAAAACTCACAAATTTTTTGAATAATACCTGGATCCAAATTATTTTTCTAGCCAGTAAAACAAGATTTCCCACCCAAGATGACTGAAGCTTTTTGACTGACATATGAAAAGGACTAAGAATTTTTAAGTTTGTCTTCTGTAAGGAACCACAAAGGTGGTCTTTGATTAATTTCTCTTAGATGCCTCTGTATACCAATTAAAGGAAGAGAGAGAGAAAGAGAGAAAGAGCTTCCATCTGCTGATTGACTCCCCAGATGACCATGATACCCAGAACAGTCTCGATCCAAAGCCAGGAGCCAGTAGCTTCTTCTGGGTCTCCCATGCGGGTGCAGGGGCCCAAGGACTTGCGCTATCTTCCACTGCTTTCCCAGGCCATAGCAGAGAGCTGGATTGGAAGTGGAGCAGCCGGGATTTGAACCGGCGCCCATATGGGATGCCGGCACTGTAGGCAGCAGCTTCAGCCGCTGCACCACAGTGCCTGCCCAGTAGATTACAGTTTGCTATGAATGCAGGCGGGTCTAGGCTAACATAATAACTTAACACTCTGTATGGGCTTTGAGTAAAGTTAAATCACTTTACTTACTGTTAAAGTCACTGTAGGTGTGACCCTGTACTATAATATAATATAATAGCACTAGAGGCTACCTTCCTGATGGCTTGGAGGTTTTCTTTGAAGGAAAGTACAGATTTAGAAACATTTCAATTATTAATACTTTGCATGTTTTATAGGGGTAGTTCACAGGAAGGACTCCATGTGAGTCCAGAAATGCATTGCTGTTTAATATAAGAAATGAGAACAATATTTTGATGTTTTAGTACTTTGAATTTTAAACATTAAATTCACACATCATTTGTACATGTGGCATATTTCAAAATCTACAAAGCTATTTAAAAATTGTTTACTGGCTTTTATTTGAAAGGCAGAGAATCATAG